TATTCATATTTACTATTGTTCTGGTTATTCTCGTTTGATTGATATTGGAAATATGGCTCTGAGATATGATTTTCTTCGGTCCAGTAGTATCCAACTCAATGGAAAGAACTATGTCTATTGGAGTTATGTTATGAAGAATTTCTTGCGAGGCAAGACTATATTGGGAATTGTGACAAGTGACAAGAAGAAACTAACAGATGAGAAGGCTGCGAATTATGCAACCTTACTAGATTCATGGGAGTATCGATCTTGAATTGATTTCAATTTCGTTTTTTAGAATATATCTTGGTTTTTTGCTAAACTACTTTTGAATATGCTTATCTTCAAATCTAGGGAACTAACAAAAAGTAGAGTAAAATTACTTATATACCCGTATTTTATTTGTTGATTACTAAAATAACCAGAATTTGCGAAATAATCAACACCATCAAAAGTTATTATTACAAAATATTTGAACATCATCTTATCTTGTGCATAAATCACCTATAAAAGTTATCTGATTATTCTTGACATAATCACTTTCAGATCTTCTTCACATTTTGTCATATCTGCCTAAAGATCTCAACTTTGTGAATCACGCTACATCGGATGGAAAGAGTATGAAGATGTTACTTTTTACCTAATATTTACACATATTTGAATAGCAATTATGGAGTTGAATAATAAGTATTTTTCTTCTTTTTGTTGTTAACATGAACACGTCACGAATTTTAAAACCTGTGGTGGTTGACCCGAGTCTTTTTCTTGACGAGCAAAGTGAGATCTTTTATGGCACTCAAAGAAGGTCATTACCAGATGTTTACCGATTGTTCACATGTATGTTATCAATAAATAACAATGTACTTTCATTGATTTGTTTGTTATAGCATCCTATTTCCATTTCATTCTATTATTAGTAGTTTCTGTTATAAAGTCAATGTACTTTGAAATATCTATATTGTACTTTAAATAGTTTTTTATATGGGAAAACGACCTGAAAAGGTAATATAATTCTCATTTTGTAATTTGTACATGTTTAGTCCTCATTGTTTTTGTACACATTTAGAGTCCTTATGACCGACTACTTCAAGTTAAGTTCTCAGTTTGTACACATATAGTCATTAATATATTTTTTTTGGAAAAATAAGTCCTTGTTTTTATACACATGAGCAAACTAAAGAAAACCGGTTATAAGGACTGAATGTATACAAAAACATCAATGACTTATTTTGCAACAAAAAAACCTTAAGGGCTAAATGTGTACAAACAGAGCACTTAAAATGGAGTAGCCGGTCATAAAGACTGCATGTGTACAAAATAAAAAGTTGAAGGGCTTTTACAAGAAAAAAAAACAATAATGACTAAATGTGTACAAAATGAGAAATATATTACCCTTTTAGGTCGTTTCCCATTTTGTTATTAGGGGATTTTACTTTGAAAAGTTACCTAATAATAGAAGTGAACATTGTTTTATATTTGGATGATGTTGTGACATGCTCTACAGGGGATTAGATGTTGGTTGATGGATCAGTCCTGGAAGTTTTCCTGAGAACACAACACAGAAGAACCGTTAAACGATGATCGGGTGTTCTCCCGGGACGTCGCTCCGACGATCAAGTTAGTTTTCTTAGAGAGAGTTTAGGGTAAATTCTGTGAGGAAGCAGATGGATCCCTTCCTTGTGCCGGAAGAGATCCTTTTATACATGTTACTAACGGATCGTGGGGACCCTGTCCAGTGGGTGTGAGACGTGGCCTCCTCTTACTGAGAGAAATATGCCCACCCTAACTGGCTGCCAGGTGACGTCAGTTCTGGGCGTCATCAAGCTCTTTGTCACGACCTAATTGTTTGTGAGTGAATGAGAAGATCACAAGGAATATTCTTTCCTCATGAGGGAAAGCGAACCGTCATCCCGGTGTTGGATTACTTGGGCGGGCCTCGGCCAAGGTCCTGGCTTGATAACGCCCCGTTTATGCTTTTCGTTAAGTTTAATGTGGCCGTGTACGGCAACGTTAACAAGTCCCTTAGACCGGTAGGCTTCTGCGTTAATGACGTAGCAGAGTCGTTTTGTTCTACTCACAGACACGTGGCGAGCTGCTACTGATAGCTTACGCGGTTGACATGGCGAAATCGTCGTTCTTCGGCAATTTCATCATGAAAACGGTTCGTTGCTCCTTTAGTAGCATTTAAACCTCTGTTCCTCTTGGCGTTCCCTCCTTACTTTCTGCCTTTTTCTTTTTGCCTTCTTGCCCCAAAGAACCTTTTCGACCTTTTCTTTGCATTCTTCCATGGCTACTACACGTTCTTTGGGAAGGGATCTTACTGCCGAGGAATGAGAATCTTTTCAGTTTCGATTTGGGTTTGTCCCCGAACATGGGGTTCAAATTCCTCTTCCCGACGCGTCGCTTTACAGTCCTCCCAAGGGCAAGTTCGGCATTCCGATCACCTTATTCGAAGCGGGTATGCGTTTGCCCACTACATACTTATTCAATCTGATTATCCGTGAATATGGGTTTTCCGTGAGTCCACTGCCTTATTTGTATGCGCCTCTTGTTGCCGATTTGCTACGTTGTTGCTGCCTTAGTCTTGTTGTTGACGACTTCCTTCACTCCATCGACCTCCCCTCCGGCGAACAACCCCCATCATAATGTAACAACCAAGCAACTCTCACATACTCAATTATTAGGTTAGTGGTGACTTGGGGTTGATGTCTCAATTATTTGTTTTTAGATTTAAGGGATGTTTGGTTTTTTTTTTAAACAATTTAACTTTTCGATTTTTTGAAAAATTAATAAGGTAAAAAATGTTTGGGTAATGAAAAGCATTTTTGAAAATAACTTTTCTATAAGCTTCAAGAAAGAGTTTGGAAAAATAAGGAAAACCTAACCTTTTGAAGTGTTTTTGGCTTTTTGATTCTAAAATTACCAAAAAATATTCTTATTTAACCTTATACCCACTTCACCTTATAACCAAGTAACCCATTGCTGTTTGACATGTAAAAAGTAAGCCAAATACTTTTTAAAAAAACAATTTATTAACTTATTGATTTTTTTCACCATAAAAATTAATCCAAATACTTTTTAAAAAACAACTTATTAACTTATTGATTTTTACAATTAATTTTCCTTCTATAATGTAATCCCTAAATTTATGCCAATAAACATACTAGTCAATATACAGTTTCTTTTCTAAATATTTTATAAGCTTTTAAATTTTTTTAAAATGACACCTAAGACTACTACTTAGCAGAAGCCCATGTCCATGCAATGCAATTTGAGGAAGCAGATACCTTATGTAAAAGAACCCTAGAAATCCACAGGGTATACAGCCCACCTGCATCTCTAGAAGAAGCAGCTAATAGACGTCTAATGACACTAATATGTGAAGCAAAAGGAGACTACGAAGCGACTTTAGAACACCTTGTCATTGCCAGCATGGCAATGATAGCCAGCGGACAAGACAACGAAGTTGTAGCAATCGATCTGAGCATAGACAACATTTACTTATCCCTCTCTCGTTTTGATGAAGATGTGTTCTAATACCAAAAAGCATTCACAATCTTCAAAGCTTCAAAAGGCGACAACCACCCTTCAGTGGCCTTTGTTTTCCTCTGCCCAGCTGACTTGTACTACAAAATCGGAAGCTAAGAGAATCAAGATTATGGGGGTGTTTGGCAAAAAAAATTATTGCCTATTAGCTTATAACTTATTAGCTTATTAGCTTATTATCTTATAAGTTAATAAGTAAGTGTAGGGTAACTTATGAAAAAATGACTTATTAGAGGTTCCCCACCAGAATAAGTTATTTTCATCCAAACATTTTTTTAACTTATAGTGGTGTGGAACCTAATAAGTTGTTTTAAAAAGTTTAGCCAAACACCCCCTATATTGCAAAACCCATCCCTGGAATGACCCCATAACACATTGCTAGTGGAATGATTGAAATCTCAACGATATATGAATCTTTCAATGAACCCGAAGAGGCTTTGAGGTTGCTACAGAAATCAATGAAGCTTTTGGAGGATAAGCCAGGTCAGTAGAGTACGATTGTGGGAGTGGAAGCGCGTATGGGTGTCTTGTTTTATATGGTGGGAAGATATGAAGAGGCGAGAAGGGCTTTTGAAAGTGTTGTTGTGAAACTTATGGCTAGTGGTGAACAAAAGTATGTTTTTTTTAGGGTTGTTTTGAACCAGATGGGTTTGGCTTGTGTGGGGTTGTTTAAGATTGATGAAGTTGTTGAATTGTTTGAGGAAGTGAGAGAGATTTGGAACAAAAGTTTGGTCCTTGTCATCAAGAGAGAGAGAGAGAGAGAGAGAGAGAGAGAGAGAGAGAGAGAGAGAGAGAGAGAGAGAGAGAGAGAGAGGCCATGTGTACATTTAATAATTATATTTAAGAAAAAGAAAAAAAATGAAAAATAAATATACTAAGGGTATAATAGTCTTTTTAGTTTTTTGAAAGACCAAAAACACACCAAAACTAGCTCAAAATAACAATGAAGCCAAAAAAATGAAGGTTTTGACTAAACTTTGAAAAAAATGCATACCACAACCACCATTTTTGCATTTGTGTTTAAGATTGAATTACTTAATTACTTCAAATTTAATGTTTTTTTTTTCTAAATGTACTTTAAAATTTTACATGCTTACACCTTGATATTCTTTTGTAATCAACCTATATAGTAAATGGGTCTCACACCTAATATTATATATTATACAGTATTTTTAAAAAAAAAAATTTCCGATCTTAGGCCTGTAATTATAACCAAACGGGATTATTTCTAATTTTCTATAGTTTACCTTATCTATAATGATTTTTGTGAAGTTCGTTTTTTTAACTTTTCTTATATTTATTTTTCCATATTACCATCAAATGTATCAGGACGAAATAGTTGTGAAGAAACATTGTGTTGTGAATTGTGATACTGAATATCTAATATCAATGAAGCGTCAGTGGTGACGCAAAGAATGCATCAATGCAATAAATACTTACACCTAATTACACTCTAATCCCTTAAATAGTAAAAACCAACAGAAAGCTCCCTCTATAAATACATTTCTTACTCCTTCCCCCCCTCAAAACTCAAAACCCCTTGCACTTGTCCTACTCAAAACCCACCATCTTCACCTTCATTTCTCGAACCATCATCGCATAATGACAGCTACGTAAGAACAATCTTTCTGTCTCGCTAGCAAACTCTTTCTGTTTATGAATTTCGATTTCGATTTTAATTTTGATTTTGATTTTGATTATGGTTTACTGAAGCGTGAAAGAGGTTCTTCCACCAATTTTGGATTCTACTTCTCAACCACCTCCCCTCTTTGATGGGACCACTAGGTATACATATACTATGATCAATTGTGCATAATTGAGCTTGATTTCACTATCGGATGATTGAAAACTAATTTGATCTTGTTTATTCAAGGTTATACACGAACTTACAGTGCCCCTTTGCACAGCGTGTTTGGATTACCAGGAACTATAAGGTAACTGGTTAATTTATGTCTGCGCTTTATGATTACGTGCATCTTGTTGAAGCAATTTGGTTTAAGTATCATTCTGATAACAAAATTGAGGTTAAATTCCGTTCGCTTAATAGTAAAATCAACAAGGGGAAGTTTTTTAGACTTTAGCAGAATTGATAGCAAGTATTCTAGTGTTTGTTTACATCAAACTGCTGAATTTAGCTCGAATGAAATGTTTAATCTCCTCGAAGACTGTCGATTGATTATTAATTTGCTATATTTTCTTTTGAATCGATATTGATTATTAATTTAGTACAATTGAGTTTTAGATTTGCGTTCTTGAGTTTCTAGATATTAATCTGTAGGGATTACAAGACAAGATCAAACTTGTTCCTATAGATCTTGCTAATAGACCCCCATGGTATAAGGAAAAAGTTTACCCTGAAAATAAGGTAATTTTTTTTTTTATATAATCTTTGTTACAAAATATATTTCTTGAGCATTTACATATATATATTATAATACTTTTTTAAGGTTCCATCCCTTGAACATGACAACAAAATCATCGGAGAGAGCTTAGATTTGGTGAAATACTTAGATACACATTTTGAAGGGCCCACATTACTACCAGATGTAAGATTTGAGATCTATTAATAAAACATCAAGTTCTTTTTATCTAAAAAATGTAACAAAAATTTATATGTAGGAGCCTGCTAAAAGAGAGTTTGCTGAAGAGCTATTCAACTACACTGACACCTTCAACAAAACAGTGTTTTCTTCTTTTAAAGGAGATGTAACAAAAGAAGCTGGTATGATTGTCTTTATATATGTTGGAGTCTGGTCTTATCTGTGATATCTGACAGACTGACACATATTTGTGTCAGGGGTTGCTTTTGATTACTTGGAATCGGCTCTTGAGAAATTCGAAGGTCCGTTTTTGCTCGGAGAAATCAGTTTGGTGAGTGTTTCCGCGATTTATTATTTATTTAATTATTTAACATGAAGTAGTTACAAATTATTTATTATTAATAAAAATAAAAAATTATTGAATTTTAGGTGGACTTTGCTTATATTCCTTTCGTAGAAAGGTTTCAATTATTTTTACAAGAAGTATACAAGTATGATGTTACTATAGGCAGGCCAAAATTAACAACATGGATAGAGGTAATTAATTAATATAAATATAAATATCACTTTTTTTGCTTTTTTTATGTAATGTAAATATGTAACACCATTTTTTTAAATGTTATATATACAGGAACTGAACAAGATCGATGCCTATACAGAGACAAAACCAGATCCTGAATATGTTGTTAACTTTTATAAAAAACGATTTCTGGTAATTAATTAATTTTTTTATTTATTTATATAAAACTGGGAAAAGTAAAATATCATTTGCTCATTTTTTTTTTTACTGTATTTTTGTTGCAGGGTTAGTGAAGTTGATGATTTCCTTCTATCCAAGAAAATGGTGTTTAATGTTAGATTATATAAATTAGGTTGAATAAAATCTGTTTGTTATGTATAATAATTGCACACTAGAGTGTGGAATATGTGGAAGGTTATTTATTGTCTTCGTTGGTTGAATATTAATTTTATAAGTATTTCTGTTTGAATAAAAGTTATTATGATGAAACGTACATATTATATAGGATTTTTTGGGTTCATTACTAATTATATTATTCGTTTATAAAATAAATATAAATATGCATATATATTATTTGTGTGTTATGTGTTACATATGTTTGTTATGCATTTGATGTGTGTTATATGTGTATCACACGAGTACGTTTAAATGCGTTACATGTGTTTTGTAAAGTGGATATTATATGTAACGTTTATGACAACTAGAAAACAAAAAGCCGTTCTAGCTCAGTTGGTAGAGCGCGTGGCTTTTAACCACGTGGTCGTGGGTTCGAGTCCCACGGATGGCGTTATATTTTTTGCAATTTTTTTTTTTAAATGTTTTTGTTTTGTTTTGTTTTTTTTTGTTTTGGGTTTAAATCTCCCTTTTATGTATAAGATAATCTATTCAAGTCTAACTCGATTCAAGAGTAAGAGTGGAATTCTAAATTATAATAACTTGATTCGATTCAAGAGTAAGAGTGGAATTCCAAATTATAATAACTTGATTCAGTTTATAAAATATTTTCTTAGAATGTTAGCTTTTATCTATTTTTTTTATAACAGTGAGCCAATCGAAACTTTATAATTTGCTCAACCCCATTTTGCAGTGTTTGAAGGAACCTAAAGGAAGTGGATGAGAAAATTACATCAATGGCACATTTGGTTGACAAATTAACGGAATTGATTTCCACACAAATTCCATAATTAATGTATTTTTATCGTTCATTGAGATGAACACAAAGAATTTGAATTTCGTTCTTTATCTTCTGTGAAAAAGACCACGTTAACCTTGAAAAATGAAAACTTTGTCTATAACTTTTAGTTTAATTCAATCTATTGATGTATTTGTTGTCTCTTGAAAGTAGATCTTACGTGTGAATTTAGCCAACGAAAAGTCACATGTGGGGTAGAAGACCAAGTGTTTGAATATGAACTCTTCAATCATCTTAAACTAAAGCAAAGGAAATCTAGTTATTGGTTTGCTTTTAGTTCCGGAGTTTTCAACTATTGGATTTGGGTAGCTATGAAAATTTTCAATCAACGAATCTTCTTGATCAAGTGGTTGGGTATTGAAAATTTTTAATCAACGAACTTAGAGTTTAAAAATATTGATTTTTTGTTTTTATTTTGCAAACCTACCTCCATCCACTTAATTTTGTGAACATATTGTCATCCACTTGAACACATTGCACTTTTACTTTTTTCACATGACAACATGGTACTTTGAGATATCTTCTCTATTAGTAATGTCCTAGAGTCCTAGCAAAATAAAAAAAGTAAAAGTGCAATGTTTTATTAAAGGGATAATGACCTGTGAGGGTAATTACCTTTTCGTCTTGTTCACGTTAAGGTAACTTCATTTTTTTATACACATTTGACCATTTAACTTGTTAAACAAAGTGCAATGTTTTATTAAAGAGATAATGACCTGTGAGGGTACTTACCTTTTCGTCTTGTTCACGTTTAGGTAACTTCATTTTTTTTATACACATTTGACCATTTAACTTGTTAAATATGTTTACATATTACCATTGTCACCTAGCAGGTGACAATGGTAATATGTAAACATATTTAACAAGTTAAATGATCAAATATATACAAAAAAAGAAAGTTGTCTAAATGTGAATAATTTTTTTTTTTACAAATTTCTTAAATTTTTTTATAATTTCTTAAAACATTTTTATGATATTTTTTCACATTTTTTTTACAAATTTCTTAAAATTTTTTATAATTTCTTACAATATTTTTATGATATTTTGTTTCTTATAGGTTTTTCTAATACAATGTTTTAAACTTTGCTTATAGTTTTTTTTTCAACTTTTTTTATACTTTCATATAATTTTAATACAAGTGTTTTTAAACCAAATATTTTATAAATGTTTTAAAATTCTCTTACAAGTTTTTTTACTTGTTTTTTTTTACATTTTCATACAATTTTTCTATAACTTTCATATATTTATTTCTAAACTTTCTTTACAATATTTTAAAGTGTTTCACAGATTTTGTATGACAATTTAATACTTTTTTATAACATTTTAAAATATTTTCGTTAAATACTAGTTTAAAACGTTGTATTAAAAAAACTAAAAGTTTATAAACTTCTAAGTAAAAAGCATTATAAAGTTGGAATAATTTTAAAACATTTACATTATATTGATTTTTTTGTTTTTTTATTTTGTAAGTAATATTTTTTTTAAAATTTTTTTAAAAGACCCTCCACACTTATTGTTACATATTTAATTTATTTAATTTTATTGTTAGATGCTATTTACTTTAAAAATATTGTATATGCTTCAAAACAAAGAAAAAAAATATATAAGAGGCTATATAAAACATTTCACAAAACAAAAACATATTTATTCAATTAAAAAGTAAAGTTTAAAATTGATAAATATTTAATTAATATTTTGGAAATTATGGAGATTTTAAAAATAACGTTTGAAAAAAAATAATACAAACAAATATGAAAAATTAAATCGCTATTAAAAGTGGAGAAAATGACTTATCAGAGTAATTGACTTTTTGTTTTGTTCATATTTAGACAACTTTCTTTTTTTTGTACACATTTAACTATTTAACTTGTTAATTTGTTCACATATTACCATTGTCACCTGCTATAGCCGGTGACAATGACAATATGTGAACACATATAATAAGTTAAATGCTCAAATGTGTACAAAAATAAAGAAGTTGCCTAAATGTAAACAAAGCGACAAAGATGGTTACCCTTGTAAGTCGTTTTCCCTTTATTAAATAGAATTTTCAAAGTACATGTCCTAAAATGAAACATAGTTTACTTTATCTTATTGTTTGACCTTCAAGGTCAAAGGAAAATTAGTTTACTTTATATTCCCTGTTGTGAGCTTCCTTTAACTATTGCCACCAATATAAACTTTTTTCTCCATTTCTTCCCATGCTGTTAGCTCTCTTATTTTTTTATTGTAAATTTGTAATTCTACTTATTTGAAAAACCACTTTGAACATTCGTGATAGTTTTTTTTAGGTGAAAGGAAAAAATAATAAATTTAAACCTCGGTAATAGATTTTTTTATTTTAAAATACTAATATGCAAACGATGGAATTTATTTTACTAATTTGGAAATATTAATGGTGCGTTTGGTTGTGGAAAACTGTTTTTATTTTCTAAGAAAATGTTTTCAGAATTAGAGTTGAGTTTTCGCTTTCAGTTTTCAATGAAAATTTAAGAAAACGCGTTTGGTTGAAACCGGGGGAGTTTTCATTTTCCATCTTAGAAATTTGGAAAACTGTAAAAAATCACTTTTCTAAGTTACATACAAATTGGAAAACTGAAAATTTTCATTTTCTTGGAAAATTTTGAAAAACTGAACGAACCAAACACGTTTTCAAAATTTCCGTTTTTCTTGGAAAATTTTCCTAGAAAACTGAAAAATTTCCCAAAACCAAACGCACCCTAAAGTTTTTGGGCGATTACATCTTTTCCTTTAAACCAACAAACAGGTCCATCTTTATGAAGTAGGATGCTTTAGAATAAGAAGTAAAATGCTAATAAAAATTCCATACAATCAGCTCCATTTTATAAATTTCACATGAGCTAAATTAAGAATTTGAATTGCCTTGGAACAAAAAAGAATCAGTTTTTTTTATGTAATTTTGACAAAGCAACTAAACAGTAAGTTCAATAGTAAAATTTAGTTTTAAACTATTTAAATAATACAAAAGGTTATTTCCAACTGAATAAAACAATGTATAACATTTGCTAAATATTATGTAGATAATATGTTGAATATTGTATATCTCAAGTAACAAATATAGAAAAATGAAAAATGATAGGAAATAAAATATACATCCAAACATGTTTTCTAATTTTTAATTATTTGAAATGGAAACTAAAAACTTATTTAGTTTTAAATTTTAACTAAACGCACTTTTTAAATTTTCTATTAAAAGCTGAAAATAATAACTCCACTCCTTTTTTAAAGAAGTTTCCCATAAAACTGAAAATCTTTTTCCACAAGCAAACACACTCATAATTTTCTGTCTAAATCTCGAAAAAAAAAACCTTATTTGAGATTAGTTTGATTAGTTTTTTTCTCTTAAAAAGAAGATGTTGATATTACATGTAACATCCCAAATTTCGAGTCCAAAAATTTCAATTTTGATATAACGATTTAGAAAACATTTATCATAAAACATCACCATGTCATATCATTTCATAAAACCATAATCTCATGTCTGAAAATCATATCATAAAAGTAGTGACAATGTCAGAGTACAATCCCAAGAAATCTCATAAGGCGGAATCCAATGTGTGTATGATGTGCAGCTACCGTGCCGGCTCCTTCCCCTTCGCTGAAGAGGTACGTGAAACAAAACTGAAAACTGTAAGCACGAAGCTTAGTGAGTTCCCCCATCCTACCACATACCATACAATCATATAGCATACATACTACCGGGCGATTCTGGGGTGCCCGACCTACCCGGTACGACCGTTCTGGGGTGCCGACCTACCCGGTACGGTCATTCTAGGGTGCCGACCTACCCTTGTCAAGCCATTCTGGAGTGTTGACCTACCCGTGTCGAGCCATTCTGGGGTGTTGACCTACCCATTGGTCCTAACAACCAATTCCTCGGGGACTATTCCACCTCCTACTGCTACTATCACATATATCATAATATAAACATACTACCAGACATATCTGGGGTGTCTGAACTATCCTTCGGTCCTAACAACCGAACGTGGGGACTATTCTCCTCCTACTACCACTATCGCATATAACATATCATGCCAGCATATAAGCATATCACAACATACTGTCAGACATATATGGGGTGTCCGACCTACCCTTCGATCCTAACAACCGAACTCTACTAATATCACATATAACATATCATGCCAGCATATAACATATCAGGTAGTAGCAAACCTGGATGATATTACAGAGACAATCATGATGGGTTTGAGCCATAAGAACTATCCTATGTGCACATGCAAACCGTAATGCTTGGATCTAGGTTTCTCTAATTGAACATGC